TTGCGGCGTTTGCACTAGGAATTCGGATTGCTGAGGGTTGCAAGCCCTGAAGTACTGCAGAAATAGGGAAGGATAATAAGAGCAGTAAGAATAAGAACGACAATGACGAAGAATAAGAAATGCCCTCTCGCATGCCCCTGGACCATATGGCTGGTTGCTGAGGCCCGGGCATGTCAGGGGCATAAAGAATGCCAGCAGGGGCTACGCAGTGCGGGAAACACCTCGTGCCGTGCTTTGGGGTTGTTGCTCAGATTGAGGGCTGTTTGGGCTTAGGAGAGGCCAGCTAGGCATCGGGAGGCCACACCGTCATTTTGCTTGTCTAATAACCACCCGTGAGCATAAGTCTACGAATCCAGAGGTCAACACGGACCCACTTCAAATCCGTGGCTGAATCTACATGAGTTTGTCGGCTATGTCATGCAATGTCACCCGAACAAGGAGCAAGCCCCCCCCCGCCAATCTCCCACTTCCCCATTTCCTTTCTCTCAATTTCCTCGCTCACCCTCCATGGGGAAGGGAGGGGATCTACAAAGACAAGCTTGGCGCGGCTTATAGAGGATCCATAGGATCCTGAGATGGGTCAGGCGAAGGCTCCAATAAAAGGATTTCTGGGTGTTGCAAGAATGTTTCCTATGGCCTGCTGCAACCACAGGGCCGGAGCAAAAGGGCTGGAGGCAGGCGGGGACCCTGCTTGGTCCCACAGGCAGGGCGACTTGTGGACTCCCATGTCACATCCGTCCTCTCCCTGCTCTCGCTCGCCTCCTCCCTTCCTCCCTTGCTCCCTTCCTTCCTTTTCCCTTCCTGTCTTTCGCGCTATTCTTGACACGCTCTCTACATGCCATGACTGAAGAATTCACTCAAAAGCAGATGCTGAGGAATGAGCCACTGTCGCTGAAGGCTGCAGAAAACAAACAGGGATGAGAAAGGGCCGGAGCTTTGCAAAAGGAGTAGGTCCCTTTGGGCCATGTGTTTAGTCCCTCTGCGGTTCCTTCGCGCCCTGATCTTGACCCATGCTCAGCGTCGCACCCGCTGAACCGGAAATCGGGCTCGCCCTCCTCGCAGTTCACCTTGTCCAGCTATCGGGCTTCGAGGGTCAGACTGGATACTCTCGCCCATGAAGGTGATATATATATATATACATTAAAAAAACTATATATATATATATATATATATGGTTCTTAAACCTATAGTATGGTGACATGAACTTCGTAAAACTGTTTTGTAGGCTTCAAGGCACTGAATGCCATCGGACCTTGCCCTGCCATCTCGGCAACAGCTCTCGCACCCCAAAGACCAAGACCTATCTGCGTGGGCGGTGTGGGCTTGGAAAGGCTGGGCCCCAAACATGCCTAGCACAGGTCAGCCCCCCGAACTCACCCCCCGAAACCCCAATCTGTGAGCCTAAGGGCCTAGACCCCATGTAGAACCCTAACCAGCCTGAATCCTCAGACAAACCCTAAACACTGGCAAACCCTAAACCCTACAAACCCCACAAGACCTGCATGCCCAAAAAAACCCATAGAAATCTGCATAAACAAATCAGCCCTACACAAGCCCTTTAGAGACCCGAGATTAAAAAAAAAAAAAAAACACACACACACACACATGTAAATGATTGTAAATGTCAGTCAAAACAGACTTCTAAGCCCTCGGAAGCCCAAGGCCCCCGACCTGCACCGCTTGCCCGACGGTGGGAGCGAAGCCCGCGGCGCAGGACACGGCACCTGGAGAGCGGGGCTTTTTTTGCATCTGGGAAGGGTCTGTTTTGAGGGGCTTAGGGTTTGGGGGGGGGGGGGGAGTTGAGGGATTTAGGGGTTTAGGGTTGTAGGGTTTTGGGTCTTGGGGTTTAGGGTTTGGGGTGTTAGGGTTTGGGATCTTGGTGTTTTAGGGTTTTCTGGGGGAGTCCAGAGACTTTTTTTAGGATTTCTCTGGTTTTTTTCTTGTTTAAGGCTTAGGGTTTGGGCTTTAGGGTTTAGGGCTTAGGGGTTAGGGTCGTGCTCATACTGTCTTATGATGCATTTGATCATTCCCACACAGCTCTCGGGTCTTAGCCCTCTAGGTCACATGTACAAGAATGAGCTGCAGACAGAATTATTCTGTGCACCGCACACTGGTAGGCCGCCAAAGGTCCAGAGGCCGTTCTGCATCCGGAAACATCGTACCCTCAGCAGGGCGGCAACATCAGCGCGGGCAGATTATGTACAACCCCAGCAACATGCGGACCTGCAAAGAACGTGCGTTGTCATGTTCGAAGCGATCCTGCCGATTCCTGCTGAAGAAACCCACGTGGCTGCACTTCTTTCGTGCCTGTGGTGTTGACCGGCAGGCGGCACTTGGCCTGCAACGCAGCCAAAGACACACGTCTCTACAGTAGCTTCCTGGCAGCTGGTGACGCACAGCCGTCCCTCACGCATGACCTGGCCTGAATGCAAGGTATGGTATAACAGACTGGAACAGATGTGAATCCGCACGGCTCGGACTTCGTAGGGAAGCAAGCATCCCCATACCTCTATTCACTACCTACGCCCCTGCACCTAACTGCAAAGCATTCACGAGGCCTCTGCGCATCCCGTCAGCTGAAAGCGACCTCTTTGAGGTGCTAGAATTTTGGACGATTTTAGAGAAGGAGGGGTGTAAAAAGGTTTAGGGTTCCTGTGGCGTTTTGGGGGGCGAAAGGCTTATTACTTATTACTTGAAGGTTGAAGGGCTTCAGGATGGAGACTGCTCAAGAGCTTCAGGATCTCCCATTCTTGGGGCTTTTTCAGGTTCTTGCGCATGGAGGCCTGAAGGGCTTGGGGTATTTTGGAGTCCCAGCTCAGGGAAACCCTGAAGCTGATTGCTTGTAGGGGAGGCCGCACAGCTCGGGCTTCTGCAAGGATCACGCCTCAAAACGTCTAAAGCCCCAAAGCCCTGAACCCTGAACCCAATCTAAGTCCGAAAAGAGACCCTACTCTAGACTCCAAAACCCGCACCCCATGCAAACCCCAATCTAAGGCCCTGAAGTTCCCGGAGCCCTGAACCCAGCCAAGCCCCTAAAACACCCTAGCCGCCCTTAAACCGTAAACATCCCACCACCCTAAAACCCTAAACCTTTAAACCCCAAACCCCAAACCCTAAACCCTGAGCCGGCGCTCTTTGAACCTTGACGCAGTCCGATCCCTAAACCCTAAGCCCTAACCACCCCCCAAGAGCTCAGGGCCTTGATCCGAATTGCAGTTGGCCATGGCCTTCAGAAGGGGCTTGGGGATGTTGGCGGTTTGGGGCTGTTGGGATTCTAACAGTTTTGGGGAGGCTCCGGGTTTTTGCCCCCAAGGGTTCATATTCGGATCCGGCGTTCTTTGGGGCCCCATGGCGAGGGCGCTCCAGAAGCTTGGAGGGCTGAGCTTGCTACAGAATGAGGAACTTGAAAGACCCTCTCGGCTCTGAACTCTGCAAACAACACCTCCCACCCTACACCGTAAACCCTCATCGCTGGGACTGAGGTTCGGAGTTAGGCTTTCTGGGCCATATGGGCTTTCTAGGCCTTCATAGGCCCGAGGCCTCATTAGGGTTTCAGTGTGCCGTGGCTGCAGGCGATGGTGACAAAAGCCGGGAGCAAGACGCCAGCAGCGCCAGAGCGGCAAACAATGGCGCAGTCCTGGCGTCGCTTCCCCTATCTATGCTTTCATGCACGTCCATATGGGGGTTTCCGAAAATAGGGGTACCCTTTTGGGGGTTGAGGATTATACAATTTTGGGGTGCATTCAGTAAGGGTACCCCCTATTCTTGAAAATACCCATATACTGTACTTCCAATGTACTTCCATATACTTCCAGGTCATGCTTCCAAGTACTTCAATCATGGGCAACCGGGTAACCTATACTTGGCTGGAGATTTCGGGCTCCACGGCCGTATTGAAGAGGGGATGCGGATGACATCGTGCTCGAGATTTAGGCAGTACTTTGGATCAGCGTGTTGTCGTGAGTTTTGAATTGGGTGCAAGCTGAGTCCAGCAGGCCCTAAACCATAAACCTCAAACCCAAACCCCAAACCCGAACCCATGAATTATGACACTGCGACCTCGCAAGCCCCGCACAGCGAGCACCTTCAAAAAATGGCTTGGCAGGTCCTCCGCACGAAGTGGCCCCGCATCGGTGCCTCAAGGTACATAAAGAGCCCAATACCCCTTAATGAAGGAATATTCCTTAAATCATATCAAGGATCCCTTCATAATTTAAGGAATATTCCTTCATTAAGGGGTATTGGGCTCAGGGCTTCGGTTCTGGTGTTCAGCCGATCCAGCACGACTCCAAGACGTCAATCGAGCCCTCTCAAAGGGCTCTGACCCCGTTTAGGGTTTAGGGTTTAGGGTTTAGGGTTTAGGGTTGAGGGTTGAGGGTTGAGGGTTGAGGGTTGAGGGTTGAGGGTTTGGGGTTTGAGGCTTAGGGTTTAGGGCAGCCTGAATGAAGGACAAGGCACTGCAAGCTGACACATCGAACTCCGTGGGCACCTCAGCCATTTAGGGTCCAGCTGGCCAGGAGACTTCGAGCCCCGGGATTCTGTGTCTGCGAAAACAAGCTGTTCTTTCAGGCGGTTAGGGTTTAGGGTTTAGGGTTTAGGGTTTAGGGTTTAGGGTTTAGGGTTTAGGGTTTAGGGTTTAGGGTTTAGGGTTTAGGGTTTAGGGTTTAGGGCTTAGGGCTTTGGGCTTTGGGCTTAGGGTTGGAGGGGGCCCCAAGGGCCAAAGGCCTAGTTGAGGCCACAGGCTGACAGGGTTCGTGACTTGTCCAACACACGCAACCTTTTTGTTTCACCCGGAAACCGCCGAGCTGCAACATCTCAAGTCCTGAAAGCTGCGCAGCTTCTCCGTGCTCTGTTGAAACGAAAGTTGAGCCAACGGGTTCACAAACCGAAGCCAGCGTGCTAATCCATGCGCGCGAGGGCTTTCTCCAAACGAGGGGTGCTAGATATTCGCACTTGGTAGACATTCTGGCCTTGACACTAGCAGTCAGTAGCAAACAATGTCAACCTCCTTGTCCGCAGGCCCAGGGCACCTCGTCGGGCAGGAAGCAAGACGCAGAACGGCAGCCACGTGAAAGGAAGGTGCCCCCCTGACACGCACTTCTGGTTCGTTGTTGCTCCATCATGGGGTGAGAGTACCCATTTCTCCCGGGCACCGACGAGTTCAAAAAATATAGAAAGCAGTTTGGAAAAGCAACGGAAGATGTTCATGACACCACCGGTAACTTTTCTGCGTCGTGTCCCCGTCCCTGAAAACTTTGTAACTTGTAGTCCTACAGCGGATGGACAGACTGATCCTGGTCCTAAACCCTCAACATGAACTGAAGCTCGCTAGGTTCAACAAGAAGGTCGAGCACGTGTGCATCCGTCTGCCGGGTTTGGATGACCGATGCGAGCATGCGTGGGGACCGGCACCCTAAAGCCAAAAACAAACCATCTCTGAACTTGTGCAAGTGGGGGGGAAGAAGAGGAGGAGGAGGAGGAGGAGGACGAGGAGGAGGACGAGGAGAAGGGCTACTGGTAGGGGGCTGCTCGGTTTTGGAATGCTTTGCACTCGAGGGCTTCGATTTGAGAGTGGAGGGCTGGGTTTGGATTTCTGACCTTTTCCTGAGTACATAGCAGGCTGGAACATTCCTACCACACTGTGCTACAGTACGTCGCTGCGTATGTTACTACGTTCTATTCCAGTCGGCTCTGTTCAAGTTACAAACTCTCCCTGAGGTTCACTCTTCTATTGTGGGTCAGAGGACATTAGCATATGGTGTTCTCTTCGACGATCGGTATATTCTACTGGCAGAGAATATATTTCATATGTTCCTAAACCCTAAACCCTAAACCCTAAACCCTAAACCGTGTTGCGCAAGGCTGCGGCCTCTGCTGTGCAGACGGCCGTCGGCTGCGCCATGCCGTCCACGGGCACGGCATCCTTCAAGTCAAGGGGCTTTTCCTGACTAAGGGGGTTTAGGGTTTAGGGTTTAGGGTTTAGGGTTTTGCACTGAGGGTGCTTGAGGGCGCGAGCCACATGGATTGCAGGGCTCAAGGAATTTCTCATGCCACGCTGGCATGTGCTGGACAGGAGCTGACGTTGCCATTGACCGCGAGCTCGAGCAATGCATTTGGAAACCGCATTCCCTCATGACTCGTTTTTGCAACTTTGAGCACGACTCTGAATGCCACTCGCACATTTGAAGAACTTTGGGGTTTGGAGCCTTCGACCTGAAGGGACCGGTCCCTGGTCCTGGTGGCAGCTGAGACCGCACCGCGATGCCTCCAAACGCCCTGGGCACTTTGTGGTGTCCTCGGCAAAACGTCAGTTTGGGGGCACAGCAAGGCGTCCCAGGAATCACCCTGGGCTTCCTGTCAGTCGGCATCTAAGACCCTGAACCCCACAGTACAGCCCCGCTTCTCGGAACCAGATGCCCCTCAAAAGGGTGCAGGGCGCGTGCAGCGCCGCCATCGGTCCCGGCTTTGGGAAAAGGCTGGCAAGGCGGTTTACGTCGGGTGTCGGCTGTTCCTGTAGGCTTCAGAGTTCAGGGCTTAGGGCTTAGGGCTTAGGGCCCACGAATGCTGAAATGTTGATCGTGTTGATCTACTATTTGCCGCCGAGAATCAAACAGCAACAGGGTGCTGTCGTGCACCTCGCACTGGTAGTCTGCAGCGAGCCTTTGTTCCACAAAGGTTGGCCGAATGGCTCAAAAGAGGGCAACTGACTCCAACGGGCCCTCACAGTTCTTGCCGGTCCAACAACGCAATGTGGGACGCGGCAAGCCTCAAGCCGCAATGTCCCATTTCCCACTTATGCCAACTTGAAGCCTGCAAGTCTTGCAGCTTCGGGTTAGGGGCTTAAAATGTAAAGTCACTTCGCAACGACCGTTGAAGCGAATGATCCCATGCTCTTAGACGATTAGACCGTGCCGCAGAATGCCATCGGACAGGATGACGACAGCTTCCCGGTAGATCCCACGCAGCTTCGCCTAGCTCGCACACTCTCGACTCGAAGGCTTGAGGCTCAGGACTTCCGGTTTCGGAGGGTAAAACCCTATAACCTCAAAGCCCAGAATCCTGAAGCCCCCCTTGGTGGTTGTCTTCCTCCTCCTCCGGCCCCGAACTTTGAAACATCCTTGTCCCAGGAATGACGGGGCACGGGTTGCCCTAAACCCTCCCAACACAGAAGCCGACAAATGTTTAGAGAGAGAGCGAGAGAAAGATACGAGCCACAGCTCAAGAAAGATGCTCAATCCCAGTGTTTACCACGGACAGATACAACTAAGTACCGTTGCCTTACTTTAAGACCCAGTCCTTAAGCCCCAAGCCCTGCTTGGCACCCAGGAACCATCTTCTCATAAGGGCTACTTTATGAGGGAATCCAGAACCAAACCAAAAAGGGTAAAGGGTATGGGCTACCAAAAGCCTCAATATCCGCTTCCCAGCGGCGCTGGCGGCCGTGTTGGCACCCACGTGCGACGCGACCGGGCCCAAGGCAAGCTCAGGGACGTCGGCCTGCGGGGGTCCCTTACATTGGGGTTTTGCAGTTTCCTGTTTCGGAAAGTTTGGGGCCTGATGAGTCAGGGCCCTTTTATGTCCGTGGCTGGGAGGCCTTCTGAGGCTTGTGGTTTGGGGCCTCGGGCTGCTTTGAAGGGTTGTGGGTCTTGCGCGACCCTCTGAGGCTCTGAGGCATGAAGGCTTCAAGCGGCTGTGAAGCTGAAAGCTCGCCAGCAACGCAGCTATTGGAGATCCACGACATCTACCAGCCCTTCGGGGGTTTAGGTCTTGACCTCCTTAAACGAGACTTGCACGCCTTATCGATTGACTCCCAAATTCATCTGGTATGCACGTGGTAACTTCAACCTTTGCCCCGACCTAAGCCTGACGCATTTTACGATCGAAACAAACCCGTTGCCACACCTCGGTTCGTCGCCCCAGGCGCAGCATCTCCTCAACGAACACCGCAAGGGAGTTGCCAGGTAAGGGGTCTTGGACCCGCCGGGCCGGAATTTGGGACAGTACGTCCCTGCAGCGCGCTAGTCTCTGCGCGAGCGTGTACATTGCCAGTCCGGAGCCCCCAGAGTGAGGCCAAACGCAAGGATGAACAACCCTCAACCCCTGAAATCCGAAGGCACCAAAACCTCACACCTCTAAAGCTCACAAAAAACCTAAGAAGCCAAGGCCAGGCTCCTCAAAAGCCAGGAGCAGCGCGCCGCTCCCGAGCTGCGCGAAGCGTGTGGCCTGCGGCACCTCAGGCGGTTGGGCTGCAGGATTTAGAGGTGTGGGGTCTGGCTTGCAGAGCTTTACGGGCCTTGCTTACAAGATTTTGGGTTGAGAAGCGCAGCGAGCTGCTGTTACGAAAGGACCCATCACTGTTGGGAGCCTCACAGCTCATAGACATCGGGGTTGCGCGCTGCATGCGCTGCCCTGTGATGCCAACGGCTGCTACAACAGTGCCTAACGCAGTGCGCACAACCTTCACTCAAACCCCCCCCCCTCCCCGGATGCCTGAAAGGTCTCCCCTTGGGGCGTGCCGACGTCCCCCAGGCGACCAGAGAAGAGCTCGGCACTCATGGCTGGCGCCTTGGGTGTGAAGTACTCAAGCACTTCATTGCAGTGGACTGGGACTCACAATACAGAGGACTCTTGAGATTGAGCATCTGAAAGCAGTTTGTCGAGGGCGCAATGCAACTCAACTCAGAGACTCGACATGGGTTCTGGCATACAACTCGGGTTGTTTGGCTGTGTGAAGATCAGATGTTGCCAACTTGGCCCGAGCCGGTTTTGAGCATTGGTGGTGCTTAAAGATTTACACACAAACAGCACAGAAACCTCCAGCTCCTGGCTCTGTAAACTGCAAAGATCTCCAAAGCGCCTGAACGTACACATTCTACGGAGCCCCCTGAAGATGAAGCCTTCTCACCGTAACGGCAATCAAGCGGTTCAATGTTTGATGTCCAGCATCCGTCAGGAGAAGGCCAAAGTCTCCAATGTTCCTCAGATGGCACGGCCAAGAGTGGCAGGCGCAGAGGCGAAGAGTATGTTGGTTGGACTTTGGGGCTTAGGACTGAGCGACCGAGAGTGCGGCGATTATGGGCAGCCATGGGGAGACGACCAGACCACCAGAGTCCGCAACCCTTCTCTCTCCAAAGCAGTCCCTGACAGCCAGATGAAGGTTTACGAAGACAGGGAGAATCCCACAATATAGATCCCTTAAGTAGTAGCATCCCCTTTAGACCAGGACCCCAATGACGGGCCCCAATGAGGTACTCGGAAACCCCCATATCGAAGCCATATACCCAAAGTGGCACAATCAGGTCTGGCAGTTTGGGTGGTTTGGGTGGAGGGTTCTCAGGCATGCCCTGAGTTGTGAAAAGAGCATGAAGGTGGCCTCCCCACGACTCCCCTCTACCCCACCTAAGGAGATTCAGAAGTGCAGTCTACAATGCACTTTGGCCTTACAGGCTATGCAAGATTTCGGGGCTCTTCTGGTCTCAGGTCTGAGGATGTCGTCGCACTTGCAATGAGCTGCCAGGCCGCCCCCTGGCCCCCCCCCCCCCTTCCACGAAGCCTGTCAATTCCCTGCCCCCACACCCTCACTGTCAGGACTCGTCAGCAACGGTTCGCCCCAAAGCAGCGTGGGATGATGGCCAGCAGGAGCCTGGAAGCCTAAGCGCGGTTAGGGCTTGGGGGCCGGTTTCGGGCGCCAAGGGGGATGTGCCCCGTGAGAAGGCGAAACCCTCAACCTTGAACTCCAAAACCCTGAACCCTAAATCCTTACCTGCCCCCAAAACCCTGAACTAAACCCTACTTACACCCCCCCTAAACCCTAAACCCGAAACCCTAAATGCTTATACCTATACAGCCGAATGGCCGGTCACCGCCGTCTCGGTGTCCAACCATGTGACTTGAAAGCGCGACACCGTGAGGGAGGACATGCGCAACTCACCTGAGAAGAGGTCCGAAGATTGGCGCACAGGGGTTTTGGCATCTTGAAAGGTTACTTAGTTCTAACAATAGTGATGATAAGAAGAAGAACATGTAAAACATATATATATATATATACATATATACATATATGTATTTATATGTATAGATGTATATATGTATATGTATATATATATATATATATATGTATATATGTACATATGCAAATATGTATATATGCATATATGTATATACGTATATACGTATATATGTATATATGTTTATATATGTATATGTGTATATGTGTATATGTGTATATGTGTATATGTGTATGTGTGTATATATGTGTATATGTGTATATGTGTATATATGTATATGTATATGTATATATGTGTGTGTATATATATACAATCAATAATTGCTTCAGATGGCTTGATTAACTTGGGATCCGAAGCGTTAGCACCAGATTTGGGAAACATGCTTCGACTTTTCCAAAGGGAAAGAATGCGTGTGCGCGCGTGCGTGCATTCATGCATGCATGCATGCATGCGTGCGTGCGTGTCTGTCTGTGTCTGTGTCTGTGTGTCTGTGTGTCTGTGTGTCTGTGTGTCTGTGTGTCTGTGTGTCTGTGTGTCTGTGTGTCTGTGTGTCTGTGTGTCTGTGTCTCTGTGTCTCTGTGTCTCTGTGTCTCTGTGTCTCTGTGTCTCTGTGTCTCTGTGTCTCTGTGTCTCTGTGTCTCTGTGTCTCTGTGTCTCTGTGTCTCTGTGTCTCTGTGTCTCTGTGTCTATGTGTCTGTGTCTCTGTGTGTCTCTGTGTCTGTGTGTGTCTGTGTCTGTGTCTCTGTGTCTGTGTGTCTGTGTGTCTGTGTCTGTGTCTGTGTCTGTGTCTGTGTCTGTGTCTCTGTGTCTCTGTGTCTGTGTCTGTGGTGTGTCTGTGTCTGTGTGTCTGTGTCTCTGTGTCTGCTCTGTGTCTGTGTGTGTCTGTGTCTCTGTGTCTCTGTGTGTCTGTGTGTCTGTGTGTCTGTGTGTCTGTGTGTCTGTGTGTCTGTGTCTCTGAGTCTCTGTGTGTCTGTGTGACTGTGTGTCTGTGTGTCTGTGTCTCTGTGTGTCTGTGTCTCTGTGTCTCTGTGTGTCTGTGTGTCTGTGTGTCTGTGTGTCTGTGTGTCTGTGTCTCTGTGTGTCTGTGTCTCTGTGTCTCTGTGTGTCTCTGTGTGTCTCTGTGTCTCTGTGTCTCTGTGTCTCTGTGTCTCTGTGCCTCTGTGCCTGTGTGTCTGCGTGTCTGCGTGTCTGCGTGTCTGCGTGTCTGCGCGTCATGTACTGCGAAGCAAAGCTCTCGAATTGCTCTTCACTTCGGAGGAACTCAGAAGTTGCGTCGCCAAAATTTCGGTGCCGCCACTGGAGGACACTCCGCATGGGCTTGTCCGCCACACGGTCGTGGCCAGCAGCTTTCAGCCTAACAGCCACAGCTGAGGGAGTCGGTTTCATTCCATGCATAAGAAGAAACTCTGCAGCTTCTATGACATGTTGGTGGTCTTGGACTGAAAGGGTCGGAGAAGAAGCTTTGGCACTTCGAGTCTTCGTGCGCACGTCCCCACTGTGGTCATCTGCATAAGAAACATGGAGCTTGTACGTGGTCTCTGTCTCCCACCTGCCTCTGAACCTCCAAACAAGACCAGCACCACTGTGGCAACCCTCATGGACTGCGCAATTCGCTGTTGTTTCATACTCCATGCTTGGCAGCAAGCGTGGCGTGCGAAACTGTCCCAGCTTTTCCCCTCGAACCTTCGACCAGCGACGGGCAGCCTGTCGGATGACCTCTGCGGGGGCGCCGGTGAGCTTGCAGTCCACCAGCCATTCTTCAAGAAAGGCGTACTCAAGAGAACGTCTGGAAAAGCTTGCCATGGCTGGTCAGGAGCTGCTAAAAACCAGTTTCACGACCTAAAACTGTTTTCTTCGGTCTTGCCCTTGCTGCATCTTGGACTCCCGAGACCTCCCAAGCCATTTGAACGGCTCCGACAGAAAGGAAAGATTATAGGTTGAGTGAGGGTTTCGGGTCAGGGCGCTCTCGGGCTGTACTGTTCAGAGACAACTTTCTTAAGCTTGGGCCAAGCTCGACTGCCTTCTCTGCAACTTTGCCAGGCTACGGATGGCCAGCTGCCCAAGAGCTTTGTTCTTCACTACATTTCCACTACATTCCTTCCTCAGCGGTCGTGTGTTTTATAGGGTTTATGTTTTAGGCTATATAGGCCATGGGTTTCAGGGTCTAAAAAGGATCTCTAGGACCCTGAACTCGGACCGTCTTGCACTCTTTAGCTGGCGTTGGCTCACTCGGCTCAGCAGTTCTAAGCTTCGGGCGCCGGCACCGACTGTTTTCAAGCAAGTAAAACTGTTTGTCTGTCTGTTTGTCTGTCTGTCTGTCCATCAGTTCTCTGTCTCTGTCTCTGTCTCTGTCTCTGTCTCTGTCTCTGTCCCTGTCCCTGTCTCTGTCTTGTATGTATATGTATATATACCTATGTATAGACAAGAAAACAACAGTCGGTGCCAACACGTCAGGGACATGAAAGCGGAAGGCCTGCGAAAGGCTACGTGGCTATACACACGAGGCAGTACGGCAAGAAGGCTAAGCAGTCGCGGCCCATGGCCTGCAAGCTGCGTGCAGGACCCGGCAGGCCCTGCAGATAAGCACACACGGCCAGTGGCCTGCATGACGGCTCACCACGAGCTGACTTCACGTAGCGCCGTTTGGAAAAGCGCTGTGACGACCCGGATCTTGTCCCCGCCATCGCGGCTAGGGGATCTGCGGCGCCTCCTCCTCCTGCTCCTGGACCTGTCCCTTGGCGGGGACCTCTCCTTTTTGTTCTTCTTTTTCTTTTCCTTTCTCCTGCCCCTGGTCTCTTTCCTTTCCTCTCCTTTCAGCGGCTCCTTTTCCTTTTGCTCCTGCTCGTCAGAGGAGTCAGAGTCCTCGTGGTCTTGGTTCCCTTTCTGCTGGTCCAGCCACTCCTTTTCCAGGCGCTGCTGCTCAGCCTCAGCTAGCTCTCTCAGCTGCGGCCACGTTGCTCGGGGACGCTCTGCTTTCATACGCCATTGCAAGCAGTAGAGTCCCCGTTGGTGAGCTTGCATGCCTGCTGCGCCGCCTTCTGGCCTGCGCCAACAGATCTCGCAGAACGAGCCTTTGCCTCCACGACGCCGAAGCGGCTTTGCCGCAGCCTTGCCTTTCAGGTGCAGCTGCTTTGCCTGCTTTGGCGGAAACGCAGGCTCGCTTGGTTTTCGGCGGTCCTTTTGGCCGTCTTCTTCTTCTTCCTCGTCGGAGTACTCGTAGGAAGAGCTCCTCACCTCCTCCCTTTCTTCCACCTCCTCCCTTTCTTTCTCCTTCTTGTCTCCTTCCTCGCGGCGTCTGCTCCTCGCCTCTTCCTCCTCCGACTCGCGGCTCCTCTGCTCGTTTTCCGTTTTCTTGCCTTCCCTTTTTTGGTCCTCCCTTTCTTCTTTTTTTCCTCCTCCTCCTCCTCCTCCTCCTCGTCGTCCTCCTCCTTCACCGCGACCTGCGGACAAGGAAACAGCGAGGGGCTGGTAGGGTGTGTGTGCGTGTGGGCGGGTGAAATTTTTCAAGGGTGTATTATACGTTTGTCCCATCCTGCCGTCTCCGGCGGCCCGCAGGCTCTGCCATCTTCAGGGGGGGCGGCCCGCAGGCTCTGCCAGCTCTAGAAAGGCGGCCCGCAGGCTCTGCCAGCTTCAGGGCGGCCCGCAGGCTCTGCCAGCTTCAGGGCGGCCCGCAGGCTCTGCCATTTGAGATGGGGGGCTGTCCATGCTTCTGGTTTTGTTTCTACATATGTAGTTTCGAGGGTCATAAGACAGAATGAGCGGCGACCATGACAACTACTTTATAACTCCGTAAGACAGTTCGCATCACGAGCCTTCGCGCGGCCCAGGCATCGTGCCCATGGTGGCACAGCACAGTAGACGAGCCAAATTGGCTGCGACAGGAACATCCCGGTGGCCCACAAGCAGTTCTCCAAAGCTGTCTTGGGCTTAGGGTTCAGGATCATGGGAGGTCGAAGCCTTCAGGCACCGAAAGTGGTTTTTAGGCCCCGAAAGTAGCGCCGTTCATGAGAAAACCAGTTTTAGGCACTGAAACTGGTGTTGGACCTCGAAACTAGGGCCATTCATGAGAAGACCAGTTTTAGGCACTGAAACTGGTTTTGGGCCTCCAAACTAGCATCCTTGACCTCAGAAAACCAGTTTTAGGCACTGAAACTGGTTTTGGGCCTCCAAACTAGCATCCTTGACCTCAGAAAACCAGTTTTAGGCACTGAAACTGGTTTTGGGCCTCCAAACTAGCATCCTTGACCTCAGAAAACCAGTTTTAGGCACTGAAACTGGTTTTGGGCCTCCAAACTAGCATCCTTGACCTCAGAAAACCAGTTTTAGGCACTGAAACTGGTTTTGGGCCTCCAAACTAGCATCCTTGACCTCAGAAAACCAGTTTTAGGCACTGAAACTGGTTTTGGGATCCTTGACCTCAGAAAACCAGTTTTAGGCACTGAAACTGGTTTTAGGATCCTTGACCTCGGAAAACCAGTTTTAGGCACTGAAACTGGTTTTGGGCCTCCAAATTTGGGCGGGATGGCCTCCAGGAGGGCAGCCCGAAAAGGGCAGCAGCCAAGGAGCCGAACGAGCCAAAAAACGGCTACCGACAACCTTGTCACATGAACCCTGACAAAGCTTGTCACTGTAGGTAGCAACCTTGTCACGTTAGCACGGAATTGTCATGGTAGCCTTTGACTCTGCTCTGTGTGTCTCTGTGTGTCTCTGTGTGTCTCTGTGCGTCTCTGTGTGTCTCTGTGTGTCTCTGTGTGTGTCTCTGTGTGTCTCTGTGTGTCTCTGTGTGTCTCTGTGTGTCTCTGTGTGTCTCTGTGTGTCTCTGTGTGTCTCTGTGTGTCTCTGTGTGTCTCTGTGTGTCTCTGTGTGTCTCTGTGCCTGTGTGTCTCTGTGTCTCTATGTGTGTCCTCTGTCTCTTGGTCTCTGTGTCTCTTGTGTCTCTCTGTTGTTGTGTCTCTGTGTGTTGTCTCTGTGTGTCTCGTGTGTCTGTGTCTCTGTGTGTCTCTGTGTGTGTGTGTGTGTGTGTGTCTCTCTGTGTGTCCTGTGTGTCTCTGTGTTGTGTGTGTCGATGTGGGTCTCTGTGTGTTTCTGTGTTTGTTCTGTGTGTCTCTGTGTGTCTCTGTGTCTCTGTGTGTGTGTGTGGTGTGTGTATGTGTGTGGTCTTTGTCTGTTGTGGTGTGTGTTTGTGTCTCCTGTGTGTGGCTGTGTGTGGGTGTGTGTGTCTGTGTGTGTGTGTGTGTTGTGTGTGTATGTGTGTGTGTGTGTGTGTGTCTGTGTGTGTCTGTGGTGGTTGTCTGTGGTGTGTGTCTGTGTGTGTGTGTCTGTGTGTGTGTGTGTGTGTTGTGTGTGTGTGTGTCTGTGTGTGTCCTGTGTGTGTCTGTGTGTGTCTGTGTGTGTGGTTGTGTGTGTGTGTGTGTGTCTGTGTGTGTCTGTGTGTGTGGGTCTGTGTGGTGTCTGTGGTGTGTGTGTGTGTGTGTGTCTGTGTGTGGTGTGTGTGGTGTTGTTGGCTGGTTGGGTGTTGTGTGTTTGTGTGCCGTGGCGTGTGTTGTGTGTGTTGTGTGTGTGTGTGTGTGTGTGTGTGTGTGTGTGTCTGTGTGTCCTGTGTCTGTGTCTGTGTGGTCTGTGTCTGGTCTGTGTCTTGTAGGGGTCTG